CCAATGAAAATGGGTGAGGTTCTTAATTTAAAACGCAGAGATTGTGCTATCTGAGGAAAAAATCTCATCTAAAACTCATTTTTAAACTCCCAAAATTAATGGATGTTTGGAATTGCTTAATAATAATAATAATAATAATAATAGAATAATAAATAAAATTTCCAAACACACCTTCATTGTGAAGGAGTTAAATCCTAATTCTTAATGTGAATTAGCACCAGTATTTATGAGAGTTCTTTATAATGCTGTGTTTCTGTTCTCTTTTGTAATCACAGAATAACCTTTTTTAAAAGCAGTAAAGTTAAAAAGACCAGAGAGTGGCTTTACAATGATACATAACACATTGTTTCTATCATGTAAGAATTGCTAAACTGAAGTCTATTTCAGAAGCACAAGTTATTGCAAATGTTGGAAGTGATTTTAGGAGCCCAAGGACCTTGTGGACCATGAACTCACTCCCTGCAAACTTAACTACGCAGATGGCTGGAAATGTGCTTTTGTACATTCATCTGTTAATGCGAAGGTCCCAATGCAGACATTAACACTTGAGAGCATTATGTGGATTTGGAACAATCTCTGGAAGAGTTGGGTTCCATACAAAATTATTCTGACAGTCTGCAACAGAGATAATCCTGCCCTACTTCCATGCCAAACACCTGACTTCCAATGAAGAAGCAAGATATACTGAGCCAGTCTCACTCCTAGACCCACTCATGTAATGGGGTTCAATTTCCTCCACTCTTCACAGCAGCACCCCAGCCCAGTGATGACATAATGAACAAAAAAGAATAGTTAATAATTATTTTAGGTAAAAAAGAAGCACTGTGCAAACATAGTAAGAAAAGGTCTCAGCTCTGAAGTGTAAATACAAGACAGATAAAGGATGAGAGAGAAAACAGGTGATCGATCCATTCCACTCTCTCAGGGAGTCAGGAACAAAGCTCATGTTTCCTAGTTTCTAGCCAGGTCTCCTAGTCATTGGACCACACGTCCACACACGGTCTACAATGTTTTACAAGTGTTCTCACACTATGGCAATTTAAAAGATATCAAGAAAGCCCGAACTTTTTTTCTTTAAAAAAGAAGGGGAGAGAAGAAAAGAGGTTATGTTTGGTTTCATTATTAGAAATGTAGGTGTAGCATACCTAGTTCTTTTCAGAAAGACTCTATGAACAACTTGAGAATGAATACGTTTAGGGTGATGTTATCAGAGACACCACACAAGTAAAATTGGATCCTCCAAGTAGAGACAAACACAGAAGAAAAATCCTGTTCCTCTGATAGACTCATATACTGTAGAAGAAATTTGGTATGGGGATCTTTTCAGAGCTTTCCTTCACCTTAGTCTCCTCCTGCAGGTATTACTGCACAAGTGGGTGTTCTGACTCAAAGGACTAATTTCTGACTAAGGTAGGACTAAGGATGGCAGAATCAGGCTCTGAGTGTTCCAAAAGTACTAATTAATTTTAATTTTGCATGTATAGTATAATTACTGACTTGCCTTCCATGAAAGTGAAATACTGAGATGGGTGGTTCATCTCTTAATCTTAGGAAAAGCTCGTCACACAATGTCTGTTTGATTGTTAATTGCTTTTAATAGTCCTGTTTGGCCAGTTCTACCCAACAAGTATCACCAGAGACAGGTAGTAGATTTCTTAAGACATGGATAATAGCATAAACAAAGCTAGCAAGGAGAATAGGGAAAACATTACTGATAATTTCTGGGGTAACCAACAGAGGCAAAACAAATTCAGAGGACATTAAGTGCACGTGTACACTGCAACAATATTTCAAATAACTAGTGCTATTCTGAAATAACTTAGTCCGCGTCTACACAGCAGGCAGTTATTTTGAAATACTGTCAAAATACTGTCAAGCTGGAGGACTTCTTACTCCAGCTCCTGTAACCTTCATTGTACAAGGAATAAGGGAAGGCGGAGGAAGAGTGTTCTATTTTGAAATCAGTGCTGTGTAGTCACTCCCTATTTCGAAATAAGCTATTTTGAAATAAGATACGCAATTGACATAACTCGAAATGAGCTATGCAAATTGAACTAAGCCCTGAAAGTTTAGATGCACCCTAACTTGGTCTTAAATATCCTTTATTGCTCAACTGAAATAAAGGGGAGAGGGATAAAAGAAAGGAAAAGAAAAGAAGATAGGAGGAAGGAGAGGATATTTTATGGTATCTGGGATAAGTTTATTATCAAGAAAGGATGTATTCTAGTTAAAGGACAATATGTTTTTTGAGAGTACATCTCCTGCCTTCTCCCATCTTTCTTCTCCAAGAAGATATGTATAGATTTTAATATCAGAAGAGACCATTCTGATCATGTAGTCTGACCTACATAATACAGTCATGACAACATAAGTTGAACTTGAACATCATGGCTGTGTCTACACTGGCATGTTCTTGCACGAAAACGGCCGCTTTTGTGCAAAAACATGCCCCCTGTCTACACTGGTCGCGCGTTCTTGCGCAAGTAAACTGACATTGTACTGTAGAAAATCAGGGCTTCTTGCATGAGAACTCTGACGCTCCTTCTCAGGAAAAAGCCCTCTTGCGCAAGAGCTCTTCAAGAAGAGGCCAGTGTAGACAAGCAACATGAATTTCTTGCGCAAGAAGCCCCTATGATTAAAATGGCCATTGGAGCTTTCTTGCAGAAGAGAGCATCTACACTGCCATGGATGCTCTTGCACAAAAGCACATCTCTTACGCAAAAGCACATGCCAGTGTAGACGCTCTCTTGTGGAACAGTTTTTGCACAAGAACTATTCCACAAAAGAGTACTTGCGCAAGATGCTGCCAGTGTAGACGTAGCATGTGATTTCAGTGCTTTACTAGACATTCCTAAGAGGCAGATAAAGTGAAAGACAATGCATATTGTAGGAAATAAACATTTCAGCCATATTTTGTGTACCCCGTTCAGCACATGTCTAATTTTAAGCAGCTGGATAGTATCACTGACATAAATGAGACTAATTCTGTGCTTAAAGTTAGATGTACCCTGATGAATTGGTGCTTGGACAGGAAAGGGTCTCTCTTTTTTCGTAGTCGGGAACCCAATTCATGGTTTATGAGACTTAATAACAGTTCTGCCAGTGTAAATGAGCCATAAAATCATTGTAACTGATCACTACACAATGTTCCTGGCATAGGGAAAACTGGAGTGAGATTTGAAAGTTCTAATGTTTGTTTTGTATGTATTGAATATTTTTTTAAAAATCTTGATGTTCAACATGATTTCTTCTTCTGCTAGACATGGGCACTACAAGCTACATAACCAATGATACAGCTCAGCAACAGAGCTATTCCAAGAATAGTAAATGTGGATCACACATGACAACAATCATATTGATTTTTATGTTGGTGTGTGAGTAGGCAAAAAACCTTCCTGAGGGAATGTTCCTCCCAGAGGCTGGGTAGACTGAAACTACCCCCAACCTGAACTATATAACTAAATGGCCATAGCTATTCCCCTAATTTCTGTGGGCTGGCTTTTGGACTGAGACCTCCATAATGGCACAAATAAGCCACATGCCAA